ATCACATGCTTATGTAACAATATTAACACAATCTTAATGCAAGGATTTTAACCAGCATGACAAAATGGAAAACATGTTGCTTTAAACTGCTCATTTGCCAGATGGTGTTAACAAATGTCCTGAGATTCAGCCTCCAGGTATTTTTTGGTGAAAATGATTTGTGTTTTGCTGGTCGCAAGCAGAGTGCTACCCATTTTTTGAGGTACAAAGAAAAACAAAGAGAAACAAGAGCATCAGACATTCCACAACCCAGAACTCCTCAGGAAGTTACTGTGTGTTCAGCACTCTATTTGACTGCACTTGCTTCAGATGACCAATGGATTTCTTGAAAAGACAGAGCAGCAAAATAAACCACATCCCCACAAAAATAATGTGAAACCAGCAGTGCAGATTAAGACTAAGCCTTGATCTGAAGATTGGAAACATGCTTCCTGTAGCGTCGGAAATCACACACACAGATTTGATATTGTCAAGTCAATTCAGAGCAAGTGTTCTGTTTAGCAGATCTTTAGGCTGTTGTCAAAATCTTTCGCGAAGCTCGTGTTTTCATTATTTCACATGCATTCAACCTTTCACCTTGATCACAATGCATCTCTGTCTGTGCTGCACCATGAGGAAGAGCCAGCACTAGATAGGCACTGTGACTCATCGTAGCTCTCATAACGTGCTCTAGTTAGCGGTCTCCCAGTTGAAAAGAAATCAAACAGAACTCCGTGCAGGAGAGTTCCATGCTGGAAACAATTTACAGATTACCCTTTTTTTTTAATAAACACAGTTTTGAATTTATTAAGAAATTTCCCTTTTGTGGCTAAGTAGAGCACTTAACACACAAACAAGCACACATTTAAATCTTATAATCGCTAATATTTATAATGACACAGTAGTGATGTGTTGAGGAACTTTACCAGTTATCTCTGTAGCCTGAAATGATTCAGCACAAATCTGCCAGTAGCCATGATGTCTACCATGAAATTCGAGTGATGTATGCTCTTGCTTGACAAGGGCTTAGCTGTGATTTTAAATGACAGCACCATGCTTTTACGGAAACAACTGCTGCTCTGTAAAGTGGACTCTCAGCACCCACAGCACCTTGAGATACCTTGTAACATATTACGCAATGGAAATTGTTCACACAGAGAACTGGAGCTCTTTTATTTTCTTTCCATCACTTCACAAGTCTTGTGTCTTGCACCTCCTGGTTATCTGCAAATCAGATTCTTGAATCAAGCTGACTGCCAATGACCGCCTGTTTTTATGAGTGACGAGAACGTGCTAAATGGTAGGACCAGCTAGAAGGTCCTTTTGGTGGACAAATGCGTTATTCCTTTCCATACTTCCTCATTGTTCTCTTTCTCAGGGGCCAGGGCATCATTTTCAAAATCTTATCAATAGCTTCCACGTTTTACACACCTTTTCTCACCATACTTGACTGTCATTCAATTACAATCAAATTCTGCACACCTAATGGGTCTAATCATTAAACCTAATGGGTCTTTTCCCAGCCCATGCACAGTGCTTTGTCTTGCTACTCTTAAGTAAACCCTTTTGGGGGGTCTTCACTTTTATAAGCCAGTGTCAGAAATGTAACTCATAGAACAGAGACTTCTTATCTGCCAGACATCAGGCTAGGAGACCACAGAGACCAAAGTGGACTTATGTGGGAGCTGCTCAGGTGACCCACAGTATGACTGGAGGTCCCCCTGACCAAAACGGTCCAGTTGAGGTGCACCTCCAAGTGGGTTAGTGGACGACGGGTACTAGTAAACTCTGTCCTGGCCGCTGTGAAACTGGACACAACCAGGTTTCTGCATGGGAAATCTTTTCTACAGGCAAGACTGCATGAACCGTATTAGACTGACACGCTACTGTTCCAAAAGTGCAGTGAAACTGTGTGCAGGTCGGAGAGCATGTGGTGATTTCTGATGATGTTTTGCAGGAGTACCAGATGTCTGATTTTACAAAAAAAATAAGGGTCCCATGCTCAAAATGGATTTTGTTATTTCAAACGAACCAGTGTGGGAGCCCTCACCTCCTTGGCCATGTCCGTGTACTTCTGTTTCTCTATGGGGTCCAGCACGGCCCACCAGTCCGCCAGGATCTTGGTGGCGCCGCGGTTGTCGAGGCGAGGGTGCTGCTGCCGCACCAGGGAGCGGTGGCGCTTGCAGAAGAGAAGGAAAGCGTTCATGGGCCGGCGGGCGCGCTGCTCCGAGGACTCCTCCTCCTCTCCCTCTTCCTCCTCCGTGCCGCCGGCCTCCGCCTCCGCGGCCCCAGCCTCCCCGCACAGCAGCGGCTCCTGAGGAGAGAGGCACCGGGCTTCAGACCCTGCACAGCCGCCCCCAGCCGCCCCACCCCGAGCGAGCACCAGACCCAGTTCGGTGCCATCCTCCATCCCCCAACAGCTTTTCCAGCACAGCTAAATAAGCATCCCAGTCTGTGGAGGCTTTCTCGGAAAAAAAAAAAAGAGCATTCATCGCGGGCCAGACAGAGCCACCAAAGATACAGGAACTGCCAGCAAGCACCACATGCAAATATAACCTAACGAGCAAATACTGGCCCAAATTACGCTTTTGCCTTGATGCATATGTGACAATCCCAGCCACAGCTGAGACAAAGCACACAAAAAAAAACCCTCTCGGAGGCAGGAAACATTCTCAGTCACCCCACACGGCACCCCCCCCGCTCCGTGCCGTTCTTCTGAGAACAGGACCCCACCTTCTCTAGCTCCTCCTCTTCTTCATCCTCCTCCTCCTCGGAGAAATCCAGGGCCTTCTTGGACAGCAGCGGGTGCCACTGCAGGCACTTGCGTTTGGGGCGCTTGCTGCTCAGCTCCCCGTCCGCGGGGGGCTCTTTGCCCCTTCCGCCTCCCTTCATGCCACTGACCCTGGGGAGAGAGGAGGAGGGTCAGAGGTCGCCCGTCACCGCAGAGGACAAGAGGGCTCCTCCCGTGGGGGATGTGAAAACCGATGCTGGGAAAAGGCTCCATTACCGACGTTTTTAATTAAGTTTAAGTTGTGAAAGCCATCTGGATAGTCAAACTACTTTGAGCACAGATCCAAAAACATAAAATATAATATCACACCTGTGGTTTTTCTTCACCTTTCAGCACAGAATGAACTTTAACCTGTTCCTTTACATCCTATAATAATAATAATAATAATAATAATAATAATAATGAAAGCTGAAAAGCAGAAAGAAGAAACAGCTGTTGAGCCTTCTTCAGATGTCAAACTCACACAAAAAAAATTAGTGTGCTTAGTAACAAAGTAAATTATGGGTTAATATATAATATTCTCAAGATAAAACAAGAGATTGAGATGACTGAACCAAAACCATATTGCAGTGTATGATTAATTACATAATTATTTTTTTGATAGATTAAAGTCTGTAAAAGTCTCTTGCGTAACAGTCGACACTTCAAAAAGACAAAGGCCAAAACAGACACACTGCATGCTGAAAAAAAAACATTATTAATAAAAAAGCCAGGTCCTGTCTATAATCATTTCACACTAAACAGCATCACGATACTGCTAGATTAAATCAAAACGTTGACCTATCTGCCATTTGTGAATTAGAAAACCCATAATAATAACTGCTCGCATTTGTATAACACGTGTCAACCCAAACAATCCTAAAGCGCTTCATACAAAGGAAGGAGACCCTCCGCAACCACCTGGTCTCGATGTGAATAATGAGTGGCAGCCATTTCACTCCAGCCACCCAAAATCACAAAAGAGAAAGTGGGCCGGTGAAAAATTACTTAAAAGGGGAAAATTTAAGGAAGGCTAGACTCTGCAAGCCTGAAGTGGAATTTAACCAGGACGCTGATAACACACACTTATCATAACAAGAGTCTTCTGTATTGTTTCCAAAAGACAGCACATTGTCCCAGGTCACCACAGTGGAGTATTCTGGAATTTCTAAACCAGAGGAAAGAGCACCACCTACTTGTCAAACAACACAACCTACAGCAGCAACCTGCTTGCTGAGATGTCACAATTGCAGCTTCCACACTTACCAGCACTTACCAGCACTTACTGCTGGGTTTTTAATGGCCAGGATCAAAACTCTGAGCAAATGAAAAGCCACCATCAAGTACGAGATCTGTGAATTTTAAATGGCAGGCAGACGGAATATTAATGTCAATCTGAAGCTAAATCAGGGGCCTAACCTGTCTGTTGCTACAAAAAAAAGAGACTGAAACATACACAACTTTAAATATAACCCACACCTATTTTTCATTCAATAATTCTTGGCTAAACGGAGCATATTTGAATGCCACACGTGTATGGAAAAACTATCTTCAACAACTCAAAATATCTAGCCTTTCAATACCTAAAAATGTCTCCTGATATCAAAATTAAGCTCCCATTACAAATTCCACAGCAGCAATTTAACACCATTACCTTTTTTTCTTTTTTCTTTTTGTCAACAGCGTTTTGTATTAGGTATACAGCCGCGCTGAAACGATCTTCCGTGCCAAATAAAGGCTCCTGTAATTAACATATTAGTGCAAGCCAGCGGAACAATGAGCTAAGAAGATGAGGGCAGCTCTGACTGTCTATTAAGATGGCAAAGCATTTAAAATGAAGAGGAGTGGAGAGGGAGAAAGAACTGATATGATATTTTAATTAACATGGTTCAGTTCCCTCAATAAAATTACTGTCAAATTTTTCTTAGAACATTTGAGCAACAACAGAAAGGGATCCATAAATTTCACATGTAAAACCACAAAATTGTCTTTAATCTGATTGGAAATCAATGTTTCAAGATTAATTGAGTGTTTAGAGTTACTTACAGTATTAACAGCATGACACTCCTGACCAAGTGTAATTAACACTCAGATGGAAAGTGTGTCTGGTCGGATTTTATTTTATGATTTTGTTGATCCACCGACAAAAAATCTTAAGTTAACCTGTGGAAACGAGACAACTTGCCCTTTACAATGTAGTCTAAACTGGTCAAGATCTTAAACGGTATGGGTGCAACACAAAGAAAACTACTAATCAATAAGCGAACTAAACATGCCCGAAAAGTGTTCAACAAAAATCTAATGAACAATTTTAATTGCAATGAGGCTTTTGAAATAAACCGTATAAAATATTTAAATGACGGACAGCCTCTTTAAATGTAGCAAGGTAAGCAATCCAGAAAAGCAAGGGAACAATTACTTTTATAAAATAGTCCGGCTGCTCATTACAATACAATACATCCTACTTTAATTCAATTACCTTTAAGCATTCTGAAACAGCGCACCATTTCTTAACGTTTAGTAACAGCCCACCAAAGCCTGCTGTTGTCAAATGAATAAAGTGCCCCTTGACCATTTCACGGCAGAAACCTAAGTGAGATCACTGAAAACACTTTAGATTTGCATGATCACTTTTCCCTTTCTTCGATTTCCCAGTGCAGGGATTTTTAATGAGCCTATACAAAATGCAGAGAGGAGGGCGGATAGTAAACCCGCCGAGTTAACAAGCTCTGCGTGCAGTAGCTTCTATCTGCAAAGGCCTTGAGAGATTACCGTTTCCCATTTACAAGAAAAATATTTAGCTCACAATTTAATTTTGCACAAATTGAATTAACATTGCATAATGCCCTTTTCTCTCTTCTTAAACCTTTACTACAGAATACAGCAGGGCTAATCAACCTCCTGCCCTCATCATTCATCCATAATAGGACCTTTTGACAATCAGCGCTTTGCACCAAATAACAATCAATCAAAAATTAACCTGCTGGCACAAACAGAGTCGGGCAACCGAGGAGATTAGAGGGACAGTGTGCCAAAAAGGCTTGATACAGAAACGTCCCAGAAGAGGAAACTCAACAAATGGAAAATTATTAGAATACCACTCTTCTGATAAACACTGTAGATAACACAAACATACAGCAGTCACGGTCATGACAGAACCCCTTCAGAGTGCAAATTTAAGTGGCAATCTTTGCTGAATTATGATTGTGACAATAACCATGAATTACACAGAATCAATTACAAATGCACGGATATCACATTCAGTAACAATTATGACTGTGCTACAGTAATTAAAATATTCAATACAATGATACTTAAACATAATTTGAACCAATACTGCAAACTCTATACCTAATTCTAACCACAGCCTTTTTCACAACCTTGGAATGTATTTTTCATAAGTTCATTTACATCCTATTTATTGCGACAAGGAGACTCAATGGACTGGAAGTCTGAAACGTACTGAAAGTTTATTTGGCGTATGTCGCCTGTGGAAGGAGATGGCAGCCGGCCAGCGAGCACAAGGCTGATTTGGACCCCCCCCTCTCGGCTGGAGGAATGAGCCAGGGAGCTGCTGCAAGGGTGAAGATGGGATGAAGGGAGGGGTGTGAGAAAGGAGGGCAAAGGGAGGCTCAGCAGGCGAGATATTTATATGTAGGAGAGCTGAAATGGCAAGATTTGGGAATTCGACCTCCTCTTCCCAAACGCTGCCTGCTCCAACCCTTATTACAGACCTAGCTCTAAGCCTAAACTTACCAATAACTCTAATAAATAAAAATCTCTAACTCAAATTTGGGATTAAGGACAGACTGAACCACATGCAACAGATGAAAAAAATCCAGAAACATCAGTATAGTAAATAAATGCATAACTATACCTTATTGACACAATGAATCACATACTGTATCTATTTATTACAATGGTGATTAAATGATTTCAATTGTGCACGTTTTGCCAAGGATAAGCTGTGACTACAAACACAATTACACTACAACAGTACTTAATTACAAATTGCACAATTACAGATGTAATTGATCCCAGATCCTTCTGGCATGCAAGTTATACAAGTTGGGACAATCGGACCTAAGTGCTTTGAAAGTGGTTCATTCCACTGCAAGGAAGAGGACACAGGGACACATAACAGTTACACAGCATGATATTACAGTACAGTTCAAGCAGGGAGCCTGCTTGTCTGTCTGTGTTGGCTGCAAAGGAACAGGTAAAAGTTTATTCCATGCAGAAAGGAAAAGATAAGATAAGATCACTTTATTGGCCATATACAATCTCTTGTATTAGGAATTTGTCTTTTTGCATACCCCAGCTTGCTCTCCATGAGACACACAGACAGGGAGAGAAGCTTGGGGTCAGAGCGCAGTGTCAGCCATTAATATGGCGCCCCTGGAGCTGTTGGGGTTAAGGGTCTTGCTCAGTATCGATGCCCCGTCTCCCCAGCTCCCAGCCTCCTCTTACAGTAACTATCCTGTCTTTTGTTCTCCCATGCTTTATTAGCTGCTGTTTTCCCTCTCTCATTCAGATCTGAAGAAGGCTCCACAGCCAAAACGCTGAGTCTCTTTTCTTTTCCTTTTAACATTGAAAAAACCTTTACCTGTTCCATTACTGTACATTTCCAATTAAAAGTAAACTACCCTTTTATTTTTACATTGCCACACTACAAAAAAGTACAATGTGTCTACTGTTTTATTAAACATTAATATTTCCTTTTTTGCATCAGTTCCACTGTACTGTATGCACCTCCAGAAAAGGCACAGACTTCCAAATTCCTTTATTCATCTTGGAACTCATCACTTGCCAGAAACTGCCTGCCTTACAGCAACCTTATCTCTTTCTCTTTTGAACTGGGAAAGGTTTTATCCATTCACTTCAGATACATATTACCCCATCTGTCATAATCTCTTAAGTCACATTCTGCATAAATAGCACTGTCCCTATAGCTCCCAAACCTCTGCATCATTATCTCTGTCAGCAGTGAACGGGACTGAAGACATGACCTTCGCATGCACTGTAAAAGTCTTCCCATTTAGACCCCTTAACAAATCCAAAGCACAAAAAAAAATCAAATTACTTTATTTCTTGCAAACTCACTGCTCTGTATCTATTTCATAGCTCACTGT